TGACCAAATTCGTAGAGGTCAGAACGGATTAACCGTATTTACATTGAGCCTTATGGAAAAATTTGATTCGGGTCATGACCAATTCGGGTCGCGACCAGAGTCGCGGAACGAATTAAGTTCGTGACCCGAGGTACCACTGTACTTCAGAGACCTCACCTTTGAAAAATTTGATTCGGGTCATGACCAATTCGGGTCGCGACCAGAGTCGCGGAACGAATTAAGTTCGTGACCCGAGGTACCACTGTACTTCAGAGACCTCACCTTTATATTGAAAGAATGATTAAAGTTTAATGAAGACACTATTTTTTTCTGATATAGATACCTAGTTCTTCCCCAAAAATGAGGTTTTCTGGGGAAATGAAATACATATTAAACCAGCTCAGAGCTTTTATACAGGTATACCATCAGTAATCTGTCTTCTCAAGCTGTTTTCAAACCTCTTGCTTCTCAAATGGTAATCTGCCTTCTCGTTGACTTATTTATTATAAGGTATTAGTAGATACATGAGAATACTCTGACTGCCATACAGCAAGCTACATTTTACTCTTTTCACATGGATTTTGATTGCATGTTTCGTGATGATTTTCACATGGGAGAGCTTTTAATGCCCTATATTACCATATGTTATTTGATGTTATATGGAAAATATGAATCCAGGTCTCAATTTTTGTTATTGTTTAACTGTTCTAAGCAATGCAATAGGTCAATAGAATCTGTAAGCCTATATAGCAGCATCTGATTTCCTCTCCCTTAACTTTTTTTCTTTCTCATCATAAGCCGATGCATTGAATTCTTTCAGAAGTTAGGAACCAGTAGCCCTTCAGATCTTGCCGAACTACAGTTCCAACAGCTGTAGCCAACATGGCCAACATGGAGGACTGTTGGGAGCTATAATTTAGCAGTTTCCAGTAGGCCATGGGCTCCCCATCAGACAGGAGCAATAGGTTGATTAGGAAACCTAGGACATATATATCTGGGTGTGATTCAAGGTGGTGGTTATCACCTATAAAGCCCTTCATGGTATAGGGCCTGGTTATTTGAGAGACTACCTCTGTCTGATAGTTTCTGCCTGCCCAGTAGGATTGGGTAGAGTGGGCATGCTCCAAGTCCCTTCAGTTCAACAATGTCACCTGTTGGGACTTAGGAAGTGAGCCTTCTCTGACATGATGCCTGCCCTCTAGAACAGCACCCCCCAGAGATCTGTACAGCTCCCACCCTGCAGTTATGCCACAAATCTTTCAAAATCTGGCTTTGCTTCCAGGCCTGAGGTTAGGATGGTTGTCGAGCAACTGTTTTTTTTTCTTTTCCTTTTGTGTGTTGGGTTGTTTTTTTCCAGACATACATGTCTTTTTTCCTTCATTTTGTTGTTTATTGCTTTTGGGATGTAAGCCACCCACAATTGTCTGGGAACTGGCCTCTAAATCCAGTTAATTAATTAATTAACCAATTAAACGAACACATGAATCTATTCATAACATAGATAATTGGCTCCTTGTTTCTTTCTTTAGTCTCAGGTTTTATGCAAGGCTAAGAATTATATCCAGGAATTGGAGCAAACTTTGGAAAATCTGTTGAAGATGAAAGGTATTGTATGGAAGTGCTTGCTGAAATATTTTTCTTCTGCAATGCCCTTGTCTCTTATATTAAAAATTAGATTAGTGGCCACGTTATAGAATCAGTATCAGGCTGAACATAAGTACCAACTTTTTTTGACAAATTAATCTTTTCCAGCTCATATTTACCAGCATAACAGATCACTATGAAGGAAGTTCCAAGGACAGAATTGAGAGAGGTTGGAGAAGGGTGTGCTTAATCTCTAAGTATTTTCACCTAGATTTGCTTCCAGGTTTGGTATTCAGTGAGCAAATGAAATTTAAAAATGTTATTCACAAAAAAGAATTAGCAGATGAGGAAGAGTTAAGAACTCTTCCATCCATCTACCAACCTTTCTCTGCAAGTTCCTCCCTCTGCTGCACGTTTCCATTATCTTAGCAACCACTTGTTTGAAAAAAAAAAAATACAAAAGTTGTGCCTTATGGCAGAATGAGACACTACCTCATTAATGCTTTAATATTACAAGGAAACCCTGTGTTTTGCTTGCAAGATGTGCTACTCTAATCTGTATAGTCTAAAATCAAGAGGGTTTTCCTACCATGTATAGCTTATTTCATGTTTTTTGAGATATTTTGACTGACAAGATGTAGAACCAAAATTGTGCAGTATTTTTTGTCACTTGCATCAGGAGATATTCCTATGAATTAGGTGTCTCTCCTTTCACTTTGCTCAATTTTGTTCCCTTATGCCTTTTTTTTTTTTTTAATCT